TAAAGCATTTGACTACTAACCAGAAGGCTGGTGGTTCAAACCCACCAGCCACTACTCAGAAGGAAGGTTGGGCAATCTACTTCCGTAGTGATATTGCCTCAGAAACCCAAGGAGGGGTCGCTATGAGTCGGGTCTGACTCGATGGCACACAACAACAACAACAAGCTTGACGAGTTTACAACAAATGCTAAATAAAATCTTGTGAAAAATTCTAGAGACAGGACCACCTTTGAAACAAATTAGGAATCTCAGTTATGAAGTACAAGTCATTGAAACCATGTCCATATATAGAAAATATTTTACCTATGTACTCATTCAAGGCAAGAGTTTAAAATACTTACAATGTTCTAAAAACTACCTGAACAAAAGTATATACAATGTCATCAAACTTCAGTTATGTCTTCTACCTAACACTCTTAAACAATATGCCATCTTAAAATTAATAAACATATTTCTAATATATTTACTGTGTTATTTTAATTAAGTCATTGGGAAATTAACTCTTAAAATATCTAAGAATCTAATATCATTAATTTATAAGTAAAAATTCATACTTACGGATTCACATTCTCTCAGCTTTTTCTGAGCCCCATCAAAGTCAAAGTTAACATATAAGCATTCAACAAACTCGGTAATTGGGTCTTTGTATGTGTAAGATTCCTGTAAAATTAAGTCAAAGATGAAGTTGGGTCGGATTTAATGTTTAACAGACTGCCTCTATATATCACAATATTCCTGTTTTCTTTCTTCTTCCTTGCCGTTCATTTCCAGCACATTACCCATTATCCCTACTCGGAGCAAATAATTGCTCCTACTTGATTCTGGACCACAGCTGAAGCTTATAATTCCTTCCAGACCAAGTTCTCTAAATTTTAATTGTAGGACTATTAAGTTTTTCAACTTCCCCTACTTCTAAAAGTCTCCCTTAGTCAATAAAGAACAGTAATGAATTTCCCTATATATAAGGGTATTCAGACCCTAGTCAACAACAAAGACTTCTTTATATTTAAATCATTGTTACCCTCAAATATTTAGCTTTTTCTTCTAATCCACAATTTTACTGAGAAGCTCGTTGAAAATCAATCAGTGGGGCTTGAGCTTTTGTACAACTTGGGGACTATTAACATTGTACTGTGTGATAAGGTCATCCTTCTGGAGTTATATAGTTAGTGACCCACCAACACAGGCTCTAGATTTCCTTCAGTCCTTGCAACAAGAGCAACAGAAGTATATAATGTGTAATAAGTATCCACCTAGCAGACAGCAATAATCATTAATATCTCATCAAGCATAAGTATATCCTAGACTTAAACATAGTAGTAAATGACCATTGGAGGCTGTTTTATACTTCATGTATACCTTCCACCTACTTAAAAGACATTTTTACCTAAAAGAACTAAGAGTCAGAAAAGTTAGACTGCAAGTTTAGCCATTAAAGAAAGAAAGAAAGAAAGAAAGATTTTAGTTTTCACCTGTTGAATAACCTTGACTAGGTCTTTTAACACCTGCCGGCGTTTCCGAACATCTTTGTTTGTTATGACTGCTGTAGTCAAATAGCGGAGAATATGTGGACACATCGTTTGAATTGCATTAAGATACCTAAGGAAAAATACAAAAGTGATTTAGTATTTAAAACATACTGATTCTTTTCTAGATCCACGATCATATGTGCCTTAAAGAAAACACTTAAACAGCTCATTAGATCATATTGTTTCAGTAAACTAAGACTTCAAACACTTAAGCACAAATATTATAAATGCATCTCCTCCAAGTAAAAGAAACAGAATTCAAATTCAAAAATGAAAACTGGTGAGAAAGCCAGCCAGCTGGTATTACGCAGTTATGAGTAAGAAAGCGATTCATTGAAGAGATTCATAATCCTGTTGTCGTCATCCAGTAATCAGTATTTCTCTGACATGAACATTCAAGCCTCAAACTATACAGCTCCATCTCCCATCATAACACACAAATGATTGTTTCATTTCTTAAAGCTGTCTCCAAATGGATTGTTCTCTCAAACACATATCCTATAAAGCCTAAATCCTAGCCATCCTTCAAGGTCCAGCTCAAATATCCTATCTTCCAAGTTCTCTCACATTATAGTATTAATCAATCTTTATATTTTATTATATTGTATTCTCCATAAAATGTTGTTTCAGCCTTTTAGAGGACCCTAGAATCTGATAATAACTTCAAACACACATATTAGCTAGTCCTACTTAGCCGCTTTACAAATCTCCTCTAAATAAGGCAATGTAAAAAAAAAAGAAATACACAAAAATAAAGCAATTTCTAGGAAAAGATACTTAAAACACATCAGCTAAGTCACGTCATCTAAAACAAAATTAAGCCCAAATTTCAGGTGGAAAATTTTAAATTGCAACACTTCTTCAGAGCAGTTGTTTGTCCCAATAGTCTCTTATGTGACCTCAAG